CATTGGTTGTTGGGGGTTTTTTGTTCGGTTTTTAGAATGCTATTGTGGCTCTATGCTGTAGGTACAACAAAAAGCCAAGCAGCCTGTGAAAAGCAACTGATGGAAATAAATATAATGACCTTTGATAGCATTTTAAATGTGCTAAGAATCTCTAGAATAAGGGCATGCCTCTCATAAATGGGACTCCACAAATGAGGACAAAAATAGGCCAACCTGGGCAATTTGGCCATGGGAGTTAATCTATTTAAAACAAAAGTAGGATTTGCTTATCTCTCCTGACTTTTTATTCTTCTCATCAAGATTCAACTGCCCTCAGCATCCCCACAAGTAGTGGAGAGAGTCCACCTTGTCATCTTCTTGAGCAGTTCTCATTGACCAAGGAAGTCCTGGTACCCTGTCTCTACAATAACACAACAGCAAGATTCTGGGATATCTCATGGTCCCTTCAAACTGAGTATCTCTCTCTTTTTTCATTCCATCTGGGTCCAATACTTTGCACAGCCTTACTCACTACAGGATTCCAGAGCCTGACCACTATTGCTGTAGTAAGATTCAGTTTTCTCTTAATTAGATGAAAAAATGTCCATAAAACTCCAATAGCTTAAAACTGTTTTCTACAAGCAGCACTTAAAACATGCTCGTACAGAGCAAAAGCTGGGTGACTACTAGACAAGAAAACTTCATGTGTCTAAAAGGATGTAAAAAGTGTTTGTTAATTTCTGTAGTCTTCTACTACTTCAAAAGATGAAGAAGGTTTTCAGTCTAAATCTTACCTGAGCTCTTTTTAAAAAAAAAAAAAAAAACAAAAAAAAAACCAAATAGATTAAAAGAATTGAGAATGGACCTCTTTCTTCTCATTAGGGCAGAAAGACTGAAAATTTACCCTTACTCCTCAGAGTACAATAGCTCTACTAATAAAGTTCCTTCTTAGAATTTCATCATGCCTTGTCACTTACAAGTGACAGTTCTCACAACTGGTCCTGAAGAAATGAGAAGTCCATTCTAAGCAAAGCTGAAAGCTTTGAAAGCTCAAAGAAATTATAAACCTGTATTTCTTTTATAGATTTAGATTTTCATAGATGCATTATCTACATTCTCCACACATCTTGCCTCTGGAGCTAGAAAGCCACTCCAAGAAAATTTAATGGACAAGACTATTCAAGAAGCACTACTGACAGTTCAAAAAGTTCAGACAGTACAAAACCAGAATTAGTCAGGACAAAGGAAGTTTTCCTTCATAGAATATGCTGTGTCCCTCATATATGTTTTCTTCTGATAATCCTGTATCCTTTCATCCACTGTGATGAAATAAAGGAAGATACAAGTGTGGTACTAAAACCAGCAAACTCACACATGTATCTAAAACATTCCTTAAAATACAAAATTCTAGAAAAACTGAGCACGCATTTAACTCTGTAGAGCTAGGCAGAATTTTTCCCAGTTAGATACAACTTCTGACATTCAAAAATTAAAGACTGAAAGTTACTGCAGAGGAGTATCCTGAGGCCATCTATACCAAATTAAGGTCTAACAAAATATGCAGTCTTTTCTACAAAGTGTTTGTTCATTTATTTCTTCCTTCCCTTTTTTTTTTTTAAAAAAAAAAAAAGGTCTGGAAAAAAATTCACATGCACTTAAAAAAATAATAGTCAGTCCTTCAGAATAAGATGTTCCTATGGTTCTCCCCTAGGTTTTTCCCTTTTTAAAAAGATAATATCTACTTTCCTAATCATTTAACAGGCCAAACATTTCACTGAAGTTCTACTGCAGTAGAAAAACCTTCATCTAGTACTCCATGGTGTAAGCCAGAACTAATGGCTTTCTCTTGATACAAAACTGATGAGAGAGTGCTAATCCAATAAATTAATGAAGAGGCAACACAATTTCCTAGTGTATCATTTTCAATTCCTTTTATAATGGATGAATTCCACAAAATTAATTTGGAGTGAAAATGTACCTGGATTGCTTCAGACCTTGGCCAGACCTCTCTGTACTAGTGCCTGAGCTCAGAATGATGCTGATTTTTAGAATTTCACCTTCTCTTTATTTACAGAACTAACCACCAATTTTTCCCCCTCAGAGCACTGATCTATGTTTTAGCAACCACACAATTTCAACTGCCTTCAGGAGGCAATGCCAGAAGAGAGCGCCTTTGTAAGTGAAATGATTTTCATTTTGAGGAAAAAGCAGCAATCAAATTGAATATTAATAATGTGTTTGAAGATGAGGCTTTTATTTGAATTATATTAATCCATAAACATCCCTCTCCTGAGAAAGTAAGAAGTGAGTGTCCTCAGCTTCCAAAGGAGCAGGCAGGAACTAGGGGTACTTCACAGCAATTATTAGAAAGGACTGAAAATCCTGGATTATACCTTGTGGGATTCAACTTACCTGAGCTATGTCTGTAAATGTCATGCAAATGAAAGATTTTCAGATTGTACTTTTCCAATTTTTATGTATTTTTTTTTTCCAAAGATGCTGGACACTTGAAAGAGTTCCTAAGAAAACCTAAATCAACAGATAGACAGGCATGGCTACCAGGCTGCACATATCCTTACCCTTCTCCTGTAAGAAATGTGCAATTCCATCATTCAGAATGATGAAACCACAAATCTTAAAGGAAAGACTCAGCTCAGATCTATTTTAAAGCAGTAACAAAAAACTCTCCAACAAAAGTGGTTATGGATTCCAAGCAGCAGTAGAGATAAAAGCTCAGTGTGAATGAGTTCCTGAACCTTTCATTATTTAACAAGAAAACAGGAAATCCAACATACTCAGCCTGGTATTACAGAGTAACATGATGGGGATTTGAGACCCAAGAGGGCACATATTTGACCACTTCCTTAAGGGATTCTCATCCTGTGTTCACATTGTTTGGAACTTTATGAGCTCAAAAGACTGAAAGTAGAAATATTTTTAATCATGAAAGCGGGATAAAAATCACTCACAACCTACAATAAAAATCGACAAGAATTTTACAGAAAGATGCTGTACTTCATTCTGCATCTTGAATAGCAATCCTGAAGTGTTGTTAACCAAAATAAAACAATAGGAAGGGGTGTCAAAGCTTTACAAGGCTGAAGCTCTCAATGTATTTAAATTAGAATATTTAAGCTCCATTTAGCAGTCTGCATATTCTACAGATCACACTTCAGTTGCTAACGCTGTTGGGAAGATTCATTTCTCTTTATTATGGAGACACTTAAATTAAGTGGGTTAAATATTAGCACATACCCACAGTTCCTTCCAGGAAAGACTGCAACTCATGCAGCAGCTCCAATACAGCTTTTATACCCAGGTAAGCACTGGAACAGCACAAGTCAATACTGTCCAGCTTGTGGAGCTGCAGTAATGTTGGAAAAAATTATCAGGGAAAAAAAAAAAAAAAACAATGAGAAGTGGAAACAGCATCTACCCAGCATGTTGAGCCACCCACCACGCCTGGAGGTGTTTAAAAGATGTGTAGATGTGGCTCTTAGGGACACAGTTTAGTTGGTGGACCTGGCAGTGTTACGTTTACATTTGGACTTGATGATCTTAAAGGTCTTTTCCAAGCTAAATGATTCCATAATTAAGTGATGCAAAGATGGAACACCTTGAAAAAAGCTGGCACAGCAAATGCCTCTCCAAAATCCTACTGAGGCTGATTTCATTGAACTAAGCTTAGTCCCAGCACAGACAAAATTCCAGTGGTCAGACATGTTTCCATGAGCTTCTGCTATACCTGCTTTTGGTAGGTTGAACTGACAGTTCCTATCTATGTCAGTAATGAGGTTCAGAGAAGCATTGCAATTTTGAAACAAATCAACTGCTCACCCCCACTTACTGAGCACTGGTTAAATGCAAAGAATAAATGCAGTGCACGTGAACTGGATTCCTTCAGAAGACAACCAAACCCCATGTGCCACTACAGCTACCCCACTAACTGTGCTCCAGTGCCTAGTGGGAACAAAGACTGTCCTTTGGACAGCTCCAACCACACAGGCAGCAGGGACCTGATGGAACATAAGGCAATGGAAAATCCCAACCCAAACGTGCTGCTGATGATAGGGTCTCAGCACCTACTGCTTTGACCTACTGATTCACTCCTTTTAAGCCACATGATCAACTAATGCACACACTGCCCACAGGCCCTTGCCTGCCAGCCTAGAGCTCCTCCCAACTCCCTCCTATGAAATATCCTAAATAGCACAGAAAAGAGTCTCTTCAGAGGATTTCCTTCTACAAGAATTCTTCAGAAACAGAATTGATACAATTTCAGTTCTACAAAATCAAAGACTTACACAAAATACCTTTTCACAAGCATGAAGAAATAATTTGTCAAAAAAAAACCCCAACTGTACAGACATGTAAGCATGTCAATTTGCATGATGAATACAGTACTCCCACTCTCCCTGGATGTAAGATAACCACTAGCAAAGGTGAAAACAGCAAAGTGGATGCACATTTTTTGTTCAAGAAAAATGCATTTCATCTCCTAGCAGGTCACTGTGGAACCAGACCCACATTAATTAGAATCGTGTTTTTAAGTAGTCCACTGCATTAGTAAAAATCGATGAGAAATCCAAGGAAAATTCTCTGTAGTCTTAACTCAACTTTACCTTTACATTAATTAGGTAGTATGCCAGAATACATGCTAGAAAAGGACATGTCAACTTGCATGATGAATACTGTACTCCTACTCTCCCTGGATGTAAGCCAGCCACTAGCAAAGGTGAAAACAGCAAAGTGGATGCACATTTTTTGTTCAAGAAAAATGCATTTCATCTCCTAGCAGGTCACTGTGGAACCAGACCCACATTAATTAGAATCGTGTTTTTAAGTAGTCCACTGCATTAGTAAAAATCGAAAAGAAATTCAAGAAAATTCTCTGTAGTCTTACCTCAATTTTACTTTTAAATTAATTAGGTAGTATGCCAGAATACAAGCCAGAAAAGGAAATATGAAGTGGCAAAAGAGCAAGAAATGCACAGAAATATCACAAAATGGTTCTGACTCACCTATGTGATAAAGCCCTATCCAGTCAGTCGGGTCTACTTCTTCCTTAATATCCCAGAAAATGATGAGATTCTGAGACTGCCCCAAGGTGTATTCATACATACTGGCTGTCAGACTAGACCTGCTATCCGAGGTCACTAAGTCAGTGTCGCTGTTGGCACGCTGCAGGTTCATGTTCTCAGCCATGGTGCCCTGTGATGCCAAACTCTGCAGATTCTCTGGGCTCAGGGTGTACCGTAGCTGCGGGTTGCGGCGTCGCACAAAGAGCAGATGTTCCCGGGCTGAACTGGCCATTTCTGCCCCACTCCTGTCACTTTACGTGAAAAAGTTGTTGTTCAGAGACCTGTCGTGAAGAAGAAAAAATGGAAGTGTTAAAGTGAGGCACTAGGTTTCTCAGTCAAATACTAAATGGAGTGGCACTAGTGCAAGAATATTCCTACAAGAGCCTAAAACGGACCGAGTAAAATCTTTTCCTTCACTGCTCTATCACTGCAACCATTCTAGTGTCTGCACTTTAAAAACAAACAAAACAAACAACCAACCAAACATGAATCAGTTGTGACAAAATTCAGAGTTAACTACTCACCATGAAGTAACATTTATAAGCCAGAAAGCAGCACAACACAAAGCATCCAAGACCAATCTATCAAGCAAGAACAGCCACAGTAACAAAGCTAATTTAAGTCTGGCAGTAGCCTTAATAGAGAAACGATAATGAACTCATCCTCCACCAAAGAAATCACAGCAGTATGTTGTACTTTCACTTAGATATGTTTATTCCAACAATATTCTCTATGCACAGCTTTAATCAAAGCTGTCTGCCTTTTTTTCCAAAAGCTGTAGTTTCATCAACTCATTGTTTCTTTACTTTACAAAGAAAATAAAACAGTCCTCATCTGTCACAACCACTTACTTTCAGAAGAAACTGAATTTTCTGGTGATGTGCTTGTCAGTCAAAGCTGTGAAAATCACCTTCCATACTATATTCACTTGGAATAGGAACCATGTATTGCCTCCCAAGTCAAACCAAACCAGAGCAGTTCTCTTGCCCAGTAGGAACTGTAGAGCTCCCCGGGAAGAAATCATATCCTGTGCTCCTTATAGCCTTCATACAATTTGAAAATAGTATTTCAACATTTCTGACCAGATTGCAACTTAACCAGTGACAACACTGATTATTCCACTACGGTCTTCTCTGAGGGGTGTATACTGCAGAAAAGAGCTCATTTCTATACTCTGAGGGGTGTATACTGCAGAAAAGAGCTGCATAAAGTAATTGCATGTAATAAAAATGTGTGCATGTATAGTATACAATATTAAAAAAATCTCTGAGGGGTGTATACTGCAGAAAAGAGCTGCATAAAGTAATTGCATGTAATAAAAATGTGTGCATATACACATATTAAAAAAAAAAAATCCAAGTAAGAGGTACCTGTGTATTATTCTTGGGCTTTCTTCTTGGTGTCACAGCCTTCAGCCATCACACACAGACATATTTGTTCTCTTAAAATAACCTGTGTTATTTTAATAAAATAATCCAAGTCCTGAGTGTCACCTGCTATAACAGTCCTTACTGCAAGCAAGGAAGCCTGTAATGCAGAATTAGGTAGAGCCCACAAGAAGCAAATGGATTGGTTGGCCCCTTCCATAGTATTAGTGTTCTAATTAGACTTACAGTACACTACCAGCATCAATCAACTGTCTGACAACTGGTTTATTAAACACAAACCTCTGCCTCTAGAGGTCAAAAGACATTTAATTATTAAAAAGAAAAAAAAAACATGGAGGTCCTGAGATTGTGATTAAGAAAAATACATGGGTATTGCTTTATAAAAAGGCATTTTCATATTTTGAGGGTTTTCTTTTCCTCTTCATTCCCCTTTCCCCACACAACAAATCTTCAAAAACTGCCCTTCCCTTCACTTCTGTTTCCTATCACTCATCTTCAGTTCTCTTCTTAGTGACAGCATATCCACTCTTCTAGTGTATCACAAATTCCTCTGCTATTTTTCAACTTTTCTTAAATTTGAGATGTTTTGAAGGATTGAGAACAAAGGGGGAATAAAAAGTTCAGCTCATCCAGTTGTATGCAATTCATCACAGCCTCAAATATCGCCGAAAAGGAAGGAAACAAAAATTCAATTCAATAATTCCAGGTATACAGAAGTGACATGGAGATCACCATATTTGCTTCTCAGAGTACGCAACAGAGAATTTCCTGACATGAGCAATGTTTTGGCTGCACACACAAAAGGTTTTATTTTTGGGGCTGGACGTCAGCGGGTTCACTAACTCCTTGTCAGTCATGTTCCCATGCACTCTGCCTCTGACACCAGCGTCAGCCACGAAAAGGAAGCTCTGATATACAAAGAGCCTTCTTAAATGAGAGCCAGGGAAGGTAGTGTCTTGTTTCTTTTATGCAGAATATTATTCACTAGATCTGAAAATCCTGGATGACTCTGAAAATCCTGGATGACTCTGAGACCAGAAGGGTGAATAAAATACAGCACCAACTTCCCTACAAGCCAGTGAAGCCCACAGAGATCAGGCACTGCAATCCTCACAGTTTTTTGTTTGTTTGGTGGGTTTGAACTTTTGTTGGTTGTTTTTCCCCCATTTTCTTTTTTACTTTGTGATCTGGGCAACAGCACACACTAGCAGTTAAGTCTTAAATGCTGAAGTAAAAGAGTTGTACCTGCCTGGGTACCACCACCTTCCGCACCAAGACATCAGGAGAGACTAATTAACACCCAGACAGCACTCTATTCAATTAATTTTCTTCTTTTCCATGACTAGAGATTTATGTAATTTTGAACTATTGTATACAGAGGTTTTACAGCAGTAAAATCACTGCAAAGTGTGTGCCATGGAGGAGAGCTGCAAGTTAAAGACAAAGTTTTAATAGGAGAGATGAACAAACTTCCTTCAGTTGCAGAGCAGTAACTGTACCCGGGGCAGCACTGGCATTTGTTGGAACATATTGAAAATTTATACGTGGCAGATGGACAAACTCATCCATGTTTAAGGACACGTGAGAACTAACTTGTGCTAGCTAGGACTGTCCCAGCATTTGAGATGAGAACAGCTTGGAAGAAACATTAACTCCTTTGCAACAGCCTATTTTCTTAAGTCCTTATTGTTATCACTTTGGTGAGGGACACCGATACACTAACACACACACCCTACCAGGTACTGCAAATGGGATTTATCCTCCCAATTCCTGAGTGCCACTGAAAGAGCATTTCCACCCAGACTATACTGTAAAGGCAATACTCACTATTTGCTGTGTGCACGTGTCCTGCCATGAAGGTTTGATTAACCAGGCTGAATGTGATCGAAGCAACAGTTGCACTGAATACCAGGTCAAGCTGGTGAGGAATATTGCTTTGTGAAGGCAGGATGAGATGTGGAAACTGAATCCAAAGCATAGGGAAAATACAGGCATTTGAGGTATCAGCAGATAGTAACTTCAGCAAACTATTTTAGTTGAAAACTGAAACCTGTACCAAAGCTGCTTATCTGTTTCACAGCATTTTCTCCAATATTTGACAAGGAGCTTAGAGAGAAATAGCACTGATTTCCTCTTAATCTCTAAGTGGCACAAATTTAAGATTATTTCTACTTAAATATACTCCTTAATTACTAATCATAGAGGGACCAGAATTAAAAAAAAAATAAATCCACTTAATATACAAAATACAGATAGGAAGAATCCCCTTGCCCAACTTCTTTCACTAAAGGAGACTGAAAAGAAACATCAAACCATTTCTGACATGCAGTCAAACACTGAATAGTTTAAAAAAAATACATGAATGAAAGCTCAGAAGTTCCAACACAGGAATAACCAAAAAAAAAAATCCCATCCCACCATGCAAAACAAAGAGGAGTTCACATGCTGCCCTGTTTATCTTACTCCTAAGAGTGATTCATTTCTTGTTTATGTAGTGATCTTTCATGTGGCTTAGGGGTCTTGCGAACAGCCTCTTCCCACAGCGTTTACTGTAAACTGCCTCTGAGAGGCTGGGCCTGGGAGCGGGACCAGTCATCCCCTGGGCAAGCTGAGGGTGCTGCTGGGGAAGCAACGACTGACACTTCTCACCAGGGGACTGGCCTCACGTCACCACCCTGCGACGTCAAGTCACCCGTGAGAGGAGGGAGGCAAGGGCAAGGATGCTTTTCTCTGCACACATTCAGAAGATTCTTGGTATCTCCCTCAAGTGCCACTCCCATGCTGAGATAAGCAATCCCCATGATTATACGTGCAGAAGACCACGTGGAGAATATGGAGAACAGAAAACACGCTGGTTTCCCAATTACATGCTGCGTGACATTTCTTTGTTCATAGAATCATAGAATCCTTTAGGTTGGAAGAGACCTCCAAGATCATCAAGTCCATCAAGTCCAACCATCAAGCCAACACTACTAAGTCCTCTGCAAAAACAGAGTACAAAGATTTATAAATGCTACAATAAAGAGCTCAAACTGTCCAGTTCTGAGCTCTAAGTGGCTGAGAAAAGAAAATGCTTCTTGAATAGATTCAGAATTTGGGGATTTTTCTCCCTACAGAACTCAAAGTAAGCCTATTTTGTGGGATATGACTACAAAATGACTACAGCCCTTTTGCCAGCTATCCACAGGCTGGCTTCAAACTTGCTAGAAACTCTGGCAAAAGCAGAACAGTCAGAATTCAGTCACCTGCAAAACGTGCACAAGAAGCTGGGTGATGATTAACCGTACTGTTAACTCCATGCTTAACCAGCCTCCACTCACCCTGCTGCTCTCAGTGCTGAAGAGCTTTCCTTCCCAGCTGCCATGTACCTCTTGCCAGCAGGACAGAGGGGTCTCTCCCAGCACAATTCACCAGCTACCTACTCAGCAGATCATCAGGAACTGATTTAGCCTGAGAGAGAGATGAACTTGACAGCTCTTGAGATTTTCTTCCAGGCCTACATTCTAGTATTTCTGTGACTAAGGGGAAAAACACATTTGGTCTACTAAAAAAAAAAAAAAAAAAAAAGAATAAATAATAAAAGCAGATAGATCTGACATTAAAAATCTTTTTCTATACAGACAGAAACAGGAGGAAAGTTTCATCTTTCTACCCAGACATCCTTTTCTTGTTATTCCTCCCAGAATATTTCCAAGAGTTTCTACTCGTCAAGTTTCCTGCAATCCATATAATGGAACTTCCCTCAGAAGGTAATTCACTGTCTGATAGTTAAGATTTTTCTTCATTAGCTAACATTTTATCAGTTATGGATGCTTCCATAGTTATATCAGTTAAGCTAACATTT